AGCAGCCCAGCACCTCTGCCTCAAAGAGCCCAACCAGGGAAAAGCCCCACTACTGGTTCTCAGTGGAGAACCGGGAGGACAACAATGTGGGGATGCCAGGTGTGCAATGGCAGAGGATTTGGCAGAGCTGATGGTGAGGGACTACCTCACCAAGTCCCCCTGAGAGGGCTGACGCCAATCCCCTGGTGTACTGGTCATGCACGTGTGTCATCTGGCCCAACCTCTCTTGTGTGGCCATGAGCCCTGAGTCCATATAACACCCAAATCCTAACACGGGAGAGAAGTCCACAATCAGGACTCAGGAGGGTAAAAAATCTGGGTCCTCATTCAGGCAAGGCACCCAGTAACTAAGCCCCCCTGCTGGGCAGAGAGAGAAAGTGGCTCAGAGCCCTGAGTCCACCTAACACCCAAACCCCAGCAGGGGAGAGGAGTTCACAATCAGAATGGAATAGATGAATATGTTCAGCTAGTCTGCTTTTAACAAGTTCCCTGCCTCCCTGTGTAACTCCCAACAGAGAAGAGGGTGTGAAGCTGAGGGAATATATAGCATTCTGATCCCACAGAGCAGAAAGGGAACTCAGTTATTGGCAGCCAGCAGTACCTGTTAAGCTTTGGAGGGCTCCTATTGGTGTTTCCTAGGCTGGAGAATCCCCCCCCCGTTGTGTTGAAGTTTTGTAAACAGTTTAATTGAGGGGAGACTGTCTGAAAATGTATCCATTCATGAACAGCTACAAACAGTACTAAAGTTCATGGAATGGTTCATGCCAGGCGCCCTTCCATGGACACTGCTTCATGAACCAGCCAAAATTCATGACGAACTTTACTTCGTGAGCTGGTTCGTACCTGTCCCTAACCATGTGTCAGCTGCAACTTGATGGCCCTTATGTATGTAAAGATGTAGGGTTCAGAGGGCCAGTGTTGAGCCATAACAGAGTCCTGGCACCTTCCAATTTACATAAGGGTAGCCATATTGCATCAGCCCACAAGCAGCAGGGAGACAGTGATCAGGAAGACAATCACTAAATACTGTGGATGGCTCTCTCCAGAATAAATGATTCTGAAACTACAGCACAGCTGAGAGCTGTTGTCCGTGCACAAAACTAGGCAGGCACAAGCAAAGGCTGAACTCTCCTTCACATATAAGATGATCAGGAACAGGAATACTGGAGTTAACACTTCCCTTGGCCAACAGACTGCTTTCTATGCAGCTTGTCCTATGTTTGTCTTCAATATTTACACACACCCCTTTTCTCTCCAACAAGGACACAAAGCAGCTTAAACATCGCTGTCCCTGCCTCCATTTTACCCTGTGAGGTAGGTAAGGCTGAGGGAGAGTGACAGGCCCCAAGGTCACGCCGTTGTGTGTCCATGATGCAGTGGGGATCTGAACCTGGGACTCCCAGATCTTAGTCTAATCCCCAAACCATGCTGAGGCATGAAGGGTCTCATTACCCTTCCATTACTTTTAATGTGTCCAGCTGTGAAGGGACCCTGAGAGGCAAGATACACTCACAGAGGAGTGCCGTTCAGCTGTCCCACCACCACATCCAGTTTGGTGTGGTCTTTATTTAATTCATTTACACCCCGCCTTTCTCCCTTGTGGGGACCCAAAGCAACTTACCTCATTCTCCTCACAATGATCTCATGGGGTAGGCCAAGATGGGTAGCCATGTTAGTCTGTCTGCAGCAGCAGGCAAGAGCAAGAGTCCAGCAGCGCCTTGGAGACTAACAAAGATCGTGAGTCACTGCTCACGTCTTCAGACACCCTTCAGATACTACTTCTCACTCTTTTCTACTGCTTGTGAGGTAGGTTAGGCTGAGAAAGTGTGGCTGGCCCAAGGTCACCCAGTGAGTTTCCATGGCACGAGTAGGAATTCGAACCCAGGGCCTTCCAGATACTAGTCTGACACTGTTAACCATTATACCACACTGGCTCTCTCACTGGTAACCCACAAGTCCAACGCTTTTTTAAAAAGGGGCACGCAGAAATCAATAACACAGCAAAAACATGGGATTTGCTTTCACAGGTTTTGCAACCCATTTTTGGGTCAGGACCCACAGGCTGAGAAACACTGTACTACAGTAACTGTTAAGCCAAGAGGTATGACACACCCAGCATTTTGCCCATACCCTAGCTCGGAACAGGCAGATTGGCTTGCTAGATCACTAGAGGTCAGAGAAAAGCTGGCCGTTTCCCTACCAACTGCCTGGACTTCCCTGTGCTTGCCCATTGCAGTTAGCATGTGAACAGTGCCGGGGCGGGGGGAGGGAGAGTTAACAGTCTCTGCATAGGGCAAAAGTGACCCAGAAGCATCTTGTTGCTAGGGAAGACTGAAAGAAGAAATGTTTGGGATTTCAGTATAGCGGGGGGGGGGGAGAGAAGAGGAGGAAATAATCCATTCCCCACGCAGAATCTATGCCAACCTTTTGACTCAAAGTAGGGAAGGCAGCTGGCAATCACATGCTTACACTTTTTTTTTTTTAAAGAAAAGAGACATTCTAGTCATATTCCAGCAGAGCAACCAAATGTTCCAGTACGAAGCTACATCACTGCAGGAGGAGTCGATCTCTCCGGAAATTCCTCTAGGTCCAGTCAAATGAAATATTTGCTTGGCTCCCTGTTAGAAGTAGCCCCCAGATCCAAGGGCTCACCCTCTGACAAACTGCAGGAACCCTCTGTGGCCAGGGGCTATGACGCAGCTTCGAATGGGTTTTGGAGTAACGACTTGGAGAAAACGGCACAGGCTGTAAAACGGGAAGTCCCAAGAGAGACTGGGAGGGAGGGAGTGTAGTGTGCGTCTCGGATTACTCAGGTGAAACACTGGCATACCTGATCACTGCCTTGGCATCGAACAAAACAAGATACTCCCTTCATGCTTTTCGAGGGACATTCATTCCATTACTTTCAGTGCCCAGAGAAGGGGGGGGGGGGGGGGGGGGGGAGCTGTGTCAGGAAGGAGACCGAAAAAGCCAGACTGATTTGTGGCTGTGTAAAATGGACAGCAGCAACAGCTCCCTGAAGGTGACTCTGCCCGTTGCCTCTTCGCAGTGGCATACATACAGAAAAGAAACTGGCAAACTCGCTGACTTTGGGTCAGTGGAATGAAAACACACCACTCCACTAGAGGTCTCTGGGAGAGGGCACAGGTCCTGCAGGATTCGGGACCATCTTTCGCAAAGGCGCCTCTCCCACAGCGAAGTGACTGGAGAGCCCCTCGAACAAATTAAGAGTTTCCTCTCGCCAGTGCAGTGTGTGATCTCGAGAAGACTAATAGAACCTACTTAAGGGCATGATAAGCATCTGAAACCCACTCTCACACAGCGAGCCAGCCAGCAGTTTCTCTCTCCCAGACAGAGCCACCCGCCCTCTTCCCAAACACAAGGCTGCCCAGGTCGCCTCTCAGGAGCAAGGCAGACAGACAGACAGACTGCCTTAGAAGGAAGCACCCCCCTCCTGACCTGGCCAGAGCACAGCCTGTCTGCCAGAAGGAAGCCCGGCAACCCCTTGCACTTGGGACTGGCGAGGAAGCCAAAACTCTCTCCCTGGGGAGGGAAATTCCAGCCTCCTGCAGGAAGAGTGCTAGACAGAAATCAGCAAGCTTCCCAGGAAAGGAGAGACACAAATGACAAGTAGGGCTGTTGAACACACATGAAGCTGCCTTACACTGAAACAGACCTTTGGACCATTGACTCAGACGGGCATTGGCTCTCGGGCAGAGGTTTTTTCACATCGTCCCCCCACACACACACTTGGTCCTTTTAAGTGGAGATATCGGGAACTGAACCTGGAGACCTCCTGCATGCCAGGCAGATGCTCTGCCACTGGGTCACAGTCTCTCCACATATGGGCCAAATTGGGAAGGGAACTCTACAGCCAGCTCCTTTTGAATGCCAGGCTCAGTTCCTTTACGGCATTTCCGAAGACCAGGTAGGAGCCCACCACTCTGACTGGAGACAGTGGTTTTTCCATTCGCCCTTTGAAGAAAGAACAATTTCCCCTCTATTTTTATGGCGCTGCTTTTACAGGCCTTGCATTCTGTTTTCAATCTGGCCTCGTGCAGGCATGTGCCACCTTGCAGTTTTAAAAGTAAAGCCGCACACAGCCCTATAGACAGATAAGACCTTAAAAGTTGAGATCGCTGTAGCCAACCCTCATCCCAACGCCATTATTCTTTTGACAAGAAGGCTTTGGGCTAACGGAACCAGAACCGACTTCACCAGAACAATCTGGATTCGTAGATAAAGAACCCATAAGATTCACACTCGTGTGATAAGATTCACAGGGCAGATCAAGTACAGCCCATTCTAAAGAAAGATGAGAGCCGGGCCAAACCCTTTTGCAAAAGGCTCCTAGCTCCCACACCCAAGCCTGAGCCAGGATATCCAGTCTCTGCACATGTGCAGAGCACCTTGCCTCACCAGAGCCAGTCTAACACGAGTGAGCAAGGATCCCGGGTCAAAAGAGCACTTGAGCCTCCAAGCAGCGGGTGAATCATATTCCTCATGTCTGCAGGTGAAGAAGGAAAGCAGACGAAGAACAGTCCCTGGAGTCCCAGGAAGAGGAAGCCTCAACTCCCAGCAGCCTCCCGGAGCAGAGTCCTCTCACGGTGCACTGAAGAGGAGAGGCTCACAACTTCTCTGGCGAAAGCCCGGGAGGCCAACAGTCCGTTTGTTCCCTCCGGCTCTGCTCGTCAGGAGGAAGCAGAAGCGACCTTCAGGCCGACGAACTTCACTGACCAATACTCCACACGGGCTTCCCTAACGCGAGCAACAATGGGCGCCCAAACGCTGCTGTACAGCGGGCCTCTGAGAACACGCAGAGCGTCTTCCCCTCGCCGCTGAGTTACGCCAGCTGCCCAGCACACACGACACGAAGGGTTAAAAAAGAAAGAAAGAAACCCCGAGCTGACCCGAGTCTCTTCCCTGCTGCCCACCTCCAACTCCGCACCAAACTCCTCCAAAGCATCGCCGCCCCGCTCCGTGTTGAAACCTCGGCTTACCTTGTCTGACGGCTTTGAAAGTGACGGGGTCCTTGCAGCTCCGGATAACTCCCAGCACGTCGTAGCGGGGCAAGCCCGAGACCCGGATCCCCTGCACCTCCAGCAATAGCTCCCCTTCGCTCAGTTTCCCTTCGCCGCCCGTCTCCCCTTCGGGCGCGGCCACCGGCCCGACGTAAGGAAACTCTCCATACTCCGCTCCCCCCAGGATGGGGATCCCCAGCTCGCCGGGAGCGCCGCGGCTCACCGTGCACTGGTGCACCTTGGTCGTCCAGTGGTTTTTCTTTTGGATCACTTTCGACATGGCGATCGCGATTTAAAAAAGAAAAGGGAACCGCCGGGGTGGGGGAGAGAGAGGCTGGGCTGGAAGACGGAAGAGAGACACAGGTGGCTGCGCGGGCAAAGGAGTCAGCCCGCCGGGGGCATCGAACGAGCCTTCACCGGGCGCTCCCGACAACTTTCCGGCCGCCCCACTCAAGCCATCATAGAGCAAACTTTGCCCGGGTCCTGCCTGCAGTCTCCTCCGCCGCCGCCGCCGGCCCCGCTCGCATCTCTCCCTCCCCGAGATCCGCAAGCCCAGCTCTGATCGCTCGCCGAGAGCCGCTTGGACGTCCTGTCCTGCCCGGCGCGCTTTTAAAGGCTCCCCTTCCTCTCTCGCCTTCTCCCCTCGGCAGATCCCGCTCCTCTTCTTCCTTCAAGTAATCCTCCGCTTTTCGCCGCGGCTCGTCCCCCGCCACAGCTTCAGATTCCGGATCCTCCGTCCTACCTGGGCGCACACGAGTTAGTCCCTCGGCTCTTTCTCCCGGCCACTTTTCCACCTCCCCCCCCCTCTCGTCCCCGAGTTTGGTTTCGCCGCGAGCGCGGCTCCTTTAAGCAAATACAAAGCCGCCGCTTGTTTTGTTACACTGCGCTCCCCTGGCTTCCACCAAGCCCCAACGAAGCCAGAGCGGGCTGCGATAGGAACCGCTGGCGCAGGCGCCCGGCAGACACCCCCGCCCCCTTTTCCTTCGCCTCCTCCCTCTGGAGAGAAACTGGAGTCCTCTCTTCTAGGCATGTGCGAGGTCCCCAGGTCCATGTGCGCACAGAAGCGCTGGCGGGGAATGAAGCCACTGCCCTTAAGGCAAAGTGCCCATAAGCAGCCGCCGGACCAGAAACTGAGCTGGACAGATGTTTCTTATTTGTTAAGTGGGCGTCCCCTTTGTTTTCTGAGCCTAGCCCTAATTCCAGACTATCACCAGTCCGATACCAAACAAAACTTGCCCTTCTCTTTCCAGAACAGAACACAGCCCTTTTAGCCAATATGCTTACCTTTCACCTGTACCTATATTTAATCAGAAGATGCATTCTTTCATTAGTCATCATCACTAAGTGTAGTTGTGTATTTTGCAGTTTAGCACTGAAATGTCACCAGCCAGGTTTACTGGTGACAACCTTTCTTTACTCTTTTTTTAAGAGTGTTCTCAACTTCATGCATCCAATTAAGTGGGCTGAAGTCCATAAAAGCTAATGCTATTAGATAGAGGATAGATAGATGATGGACAGTGTGACTGAACAACAATGACACAGATGATAGATGGATAGAAGATAGCTGGATGGATGGACAGACAGACAGATGTCTTTAAGGTGCCACCAGGCTGCTCAGTCGCAGTGGGATCTTTGTCCTCCCCTTTCTGTTCTGGAAAGGTAACATATTATGTCATATTATTATTATTATTACGCCATATTATTACTAACATACATACACAATCATTGTTATGGGCAATGCTTTACAAAGTCTAAGAAGGCCAGTTTCTGCCCCAAGAAACCTGCAGCCACAAATGTGATGTAGGGAAGAGAGCAAAAGGAGAGGAGAAAGATGGAAGCAGGGGTATACATTTGTTGCCATTATAGCATATATGCTTATAAAAACCTTAGGACCACTTCTGTTCCTGTACAAACCAATACCATGAATTTTAACAGACAAAACTTACAAGTCCCAAAATATGAGCACCTCTCTGCACAAGACAACTCTGTCACACAGCCATTATGATAAATCTGAACAAGTACAGATCACTTCTCTGGAGGCGGAGTGGGGGGGGGGTTAGATCCAGCCTCTCCTCCCCCTAGGTGATTGGCAGATCAAAACACCTGTTTTGTGGACATCATTTCCAGTCCAGGAAGGTGATTCCAATGGAGCAGTCCACCTCCACATGAGGACTGCATCCGAAGAATCAGAAACATAGGTCGATGCACCACGAAAGCATGAATGCTCACCTGCCTTATGCCTGCAAAATATCCCCCTACCTACTAGCTTAATCTGCTTGGGTTAAGTGAACATTACTCAAGGTTGTGTTTATTGTTGGCATCCGCCCCTTACAGCAAGCCAGCCCGGAATTCAGCTGTGGCATCCTTCTCTCTTTTATTAAGGAAAAGCAAATTTCTGAGTCATTTTGACTGCAGAGATAAGTTTGGACAAAGGCAAGCAGTGCCTGGTGGGGTTGCCAAAAGGCCTGGAGAAAAATATCCTGTGCCTTTGGCTGAGGCTTAATGTGTGGAAATGGGCAGCTGAAGCTTTTTGTGGCATGGAGGTAAATAACATCACCTGGTCAATAACATTTATGGATTTATTTGTTTATTTGCTTCATTTATATCCCACTTCCCCCCCCCATGGGGACCCAAAGTGGCTTATATCATTCTTCTCTATTTTATCCCCACAACAACCCTGTGAGGTAGGTAAGGCTGAGAGTGTGTGACTGGCCCAAGGTCACTCACACTGAAGGTCCATGGCAGAGCAGGGATTCAAAACTGGTTCTCCCAGATCCCATTAAGGGACAGGCTACTTGTTTTCTTCCAGAAATCTGGCAATCCTAGGTGAAACTTCACAGGCCGAAGACTGACAAAACAAGACTCTTAGTCTTTTTGTTAAAACCATTGTGGAACAAGGTAGCCTGCAACATATTAAAATCTCAGCAAAATAACAATTCATGAAATCTGTACTCTGCATAGTTCCTGCCCTTTTCTCTTCTCATGGCTAGCAGAGCAGAATATATTCTCAATCAAAATCAAACATACGGCTCGGCCAGTGCAATGCCCTGGAGGAGGGGAAGACTGCAATTGCTCCAGGATTTTTGAGCTTTTTTGGGATTTCATTACAGGATTCGCCTTGGAGACAAAAACTGATATTTAATATTTTGAGTATTACAAAAACATTCTTCTGGATAGGGAGTTGAGAAATTGGGATTTTTGGCACTGCTCTTTCTCTTTCCGTCCCAGAAGCACCAGAATTGCCATCCTACAGACACACACACTGAATTCCTTGGGACTTACTTTTGAGTAAACATCCCAGTAGGACCGGGCTGTAAAGGCAGAAAATGGTACAGGAAAGAAGCTCAGCTGAGCATACCATCATAACCTCTGGCTTTTCTCCACATCCCGTTGAGCTTCTTCTCTTTTTAAACTGCATTTGAGCTGTAATTGGCACAGATTTGCCTGTTCATTATTTATTGATTTATTGTTGAAAGGCCAAGTGGTGGTTAATAAGATTACGAAATGATGGACCCTTGAGACCAGACTTAACAAATGGGCTCTTCAAATGAAATCTGTGTTGTAGCCACAGATCAGGGTGGTGTCCCCCCCCCCCCCTTTACTTCTTTTAATTGTTTGGCTAAAAAGGGCCGCGTATGTGTGTGCACAGGTATCTAAAACACAAACGAGAGGCAAAGCATCTAAAGATCTGACTGCAATAAGCCAGCCTCCTCCTGAAATCAAAGACGTGTAGTCATGAATTGTGTGGAGGGAATCAAAACTTCTATGACCCGGGCAACGGGCCAGGAGAGGGAACCATGTGTTCATAATCTACAATGCAAGTCTTACTATACACTTGGTAATTCTATGGCAGTGTGTTTGCATAGCTACAGAGCCCTGGGGAGCCTCTGGCTTACATTTACAGCACGGCAGATCCCTACAGGGAAGGGGGTGGGTCATCCTATCAGATGTACAAACCCCAACCACTGAATGTTACCTTTCCCTTCTTTCCAAGCCTCATGGTCGGAGTGGATGGAGGGTGGATTTTTTTACTCCTGAATTTGTCATGCCTACAATAGGATGAGAATCCAGAAAGAAAAGGTTTCTCTGCATATTAGGTGTGTACATGTTACCTCGCTGAGGGGTATATTTTCCTCTTATGCCCGAAACTACAAGTTGACCAGTCCTGCAGAGGAAAATTATGCCTGTCTAGAGCAGGGGTCCCCAACTTTTTGGAGCCTGCCGGCATCTTTAAATTTTGACACAGTGTGGTCAGAAAATGGCTGCTGCAGGAGGTGGAGGTAGTCACAAAATGGCTGCCACAGCTTACCTTCAACCACACATTGAAAATCCTTGTGCTGTGGGAGCAGCTGCTGCTGAAGCAATGCTTTTGAAAAATCTGCACTGCTAGTTAAATCTCCAGTGGCCACACCACAAGCCTTGCTGGGCAAAATCCCTACCTGCCCCCAGGGGTCATTTCCTGCGGGGGCACACAGGAGCGGAGCTCCAGCAGTAAGGAGCCCAGGGGGTGGGCACATGCAACAAGCCCCACCCCTGCTCCCAGAAGCCCTCAGTCAGGCCACAAGGAGCAAGAAGCAACCAGGTAAGTTGCAGAGCCCCCCCCCCCACCTTCAGGTACAAGCTCTCCCTCCTCAGTGAGGGCAGATCTGTGCGTTCCCCCCCCCCATAGCTAGTAATCCAAAACAGTCCAGTGGAGCCTGAGCAGTGGGTGTTGCCTTCTGACACACTTCTGGTGATGTCAAGGGGTGTAACATATGCAAACAAGTTATGCTAATGAGCTCTGCACCTCTTTTCCTACGAAATGACCCCTGCCTGCCCCTACCCACTTTCTAAAAACACTTGACGTTTGGGCATCAGGAAAGGTGTTGGCAGGCACCACGCTGATGACCCCTGATCTAGAGTTAATGCTGTTAAGATTCTATCTGTTATTGTTCTGCTACAGCTATCCAGTATTTATTACTGTGTGCCAGGGGCTGCACAGAGTCCAAACAGTGGCAAATACGGAGGGGAAAATTCAATACAAGCCGAAGCTTAACTAGTTTATTCGGTAGTGTCAATATTCCCTAAAAGTTGGGTGCAGCCAAGCAGGCAGCCTGTTAGATTAGGAATTCTCCTTCATATTCAAACATCAGGCTAATAGCGACCTCATTGCCTTCTGCTTTCAGGCCCCATGTGTAAAATGAGAGTAACAGCATTTAGGAGGTTGTTCTAGGAATGTAAGAGATTAAGGTCTGAAAAGTACCTAGCATTTAAGAAAGGGTTATTGCAACAGTAATGAATGGTAGCAAACAAGTCATCGAGCCAGTGCTATTGTTCCCTGGTGATGTTT